TCCTCCTGCCTCAGCCTTCCAAAGTGCTGGGATTACAGGCGTGAGCCACCAGGCCTGGCCTTGGTCTTGAAAATTTATTGAGATTGGTGATACAAAAAAAGACTGGTGTTATGTCAATTCTCCCTAAGAAGGAATGAACTATAGCTATTCCTGAAAGCCACTAGATAGGCTTTTATGGTCCATTTTTACAAAACTTGACTGAAAAGTTTATGTGTGCAGAAGAGAAAACTCAAACAACCAATAAGTCTATGAAAATACCCCAACTTCACTAGTTATCAGGAAAATATAAGTCAAAACAACACCCATGTAAGATGATAACATTTGGGAAAATGAAACTGCCTGAGGAATATACAGGAACTCTCTGCACTATCTTTGCAACTTTTCTGTAAATCTAAAATTATTCCAAAATAAAATGGTAAATAAAAACAACAACATTCTTCAAAATTATAAAATTTTAAAAGTCTGACAATATCAAATATTAGTATGGATATGGGGGAAACGGAGTTTAAATTGTTAAGACCATTTTGGAAAGCAATTTGGCAATATCTATAAAGTTAAAGATGCTCATAGCTTTTGATTCAGCAATTACACTCATAAATGTAAACTCTAAAACTGCACTGTCCAATATGGTAGCCACTAGCCACATGTGACTGTTGAGCACTTGAAACGTGGCTGATCGAAAATGAGATGTGCTTTAAGTATAAAATACATGCCAGACTCCAAAGACTTTGTACCAAAAAATATAGAATGTAAAATAACCTATAAATAATTTGTATATTGATTATATGTTATAATGATAACATTTTGGATATACTGCGTTAAATAGATTGGATCATTAGAATTTCATCTGTTTAAACATTTTTAATACGGCTACTAGAAAATATAAAATTTTATGTTTTTGCACCATATGTCGATTGAACAGCAGTGCCCTAGAGCCTCACCTATCAGTATCTCAAGAAATATATCAATGTAGCGCGTCATACTCAGCATTTTTTTTTTCAGTCAGACCTATGGCTGAATACCCAGCATTTTTTTAATGAGAAATAATAGAATAGAAAATATCATAGTCTACCGCATGAAATAAGGGTAAAACTTGTTTTATTAAACTTTTGACACAATATGTATGTACTGGGATGTGATCAAAACATTTTTTGCCATGAGTGGTAGTCAAAGATGTTTTTGAAAGTTTCTGCTAAACTCTCAGAAACACAGTGTTCCTTGCAGCATTGTTGTTTGTAATAGCAAATATTTGAAACAATTTTTAAGGAGATTGAATGGATAAATTGTGGTATATTTACATTCAATGAAACACTACTCAGCAGTGGAAATAAATGAACTAAAAGTATTCATATGGGTAAATATCAAAAACACAATACCCAGCAAAAAGAGGGAAAAAAGGAGACAAACTGCAGGGAAAAGAAATTGTATAAAATAATCATTTATATAAAATGTAAAAAGAAAAATGGTACATGAAATCTTTTAGTTATTTGAAACATCTGAAGCATATGGCAAACTTAAGACTTGACTAAATTCAGTGGCAGATACACAGATGTTCATTGTATTATTTTCTATACTCTTCTGTGTGATTCAAATATTTATGCAACTACAAAGTCTCAAATATTAGCTGCTTAAAAGCCATAATCCCTATTCCATCTTTATACTTTTAAGGTATTATATCTGAATTTAAAACTTCGAGTACACAGTAGTGGGCTTTATTGTTGTTTTAAAATAACAAGTATTGGCTGGTCACTGTGGTTCACACCTGTAATCCCAGCACTTTGGGAGGCTGAGGCAGGTGGATCACGTGAGGTCAGGAGTTCAAGACGAGCCCGACCAACATGGTGAAACCCTGTCTCTATGAAATACAAAAAAATTAGCCGGGTGTGGCTGCGCGAGCCTGTAGTCCCAGCTACTTGGGAGGCTGAGGCAGGAGAATCCCTTGAACCCAGGAGGCAGAGGTTGCAGTGAGTCAAGATGGCGCCACTGCACTCCAGCCTGGGCAACAAGAACAAAACTCTTTGTCTCAAAAAAAAAAAAGTATTAACAAAATACTGACCTAAACTTTTTTAAATCATAGATTTGTAGCCACATTTCTTACCACATATTTCATTATTATATGGAAGGTACCACAGGTCTCATTATTCCCCAGAAGCAAAGAAAGTACCATAAACTCTCCTATATCCGGCATGGTTGAGGAATTTGGTGTTCTGGTCAGTCAAATTACTTTTGTTTATTAAGCGTTCCCATAAAAAGCAAACATGGATTACCAATTTTCAAAAGAATTAAGACGCCATAAAATGCACTTAAATCTAAAACTACACAGGATATAATTTATTTTTCACGAATGATTATAGTAGGGCACTCCAAGATCTTGCAGTAATTTTTTAAACTTATTTTTATTGCAATAGATGTATCTTTCAGATTAAATGTTTTATTTTGCATGCCATAAAAATCCTGAAAAAAACAAGTTATGAATTATGAATTCTGTCTCCCTACACTAGTTCATTAAAGGTTCCCAGTGTGTTAAAAATCGACGTTGTTTCTGGTACATAAATAAGAAAGCCTGGAGCTGCAGACACTGCAAAGAGACAAAACTAAGAAACGAAATATTTAGATCTTAAATAAGCAGCAGTTTGACATTATTTTTTACTACCACGTAAAGCTACGTACCTTTAAAGTCCATGGAAAGAAAATCATCATTGTCCATTTTTAAATCTCTGGCTCAAGCCTATGAAATAATAACATATTTTTAACACTGTTTTATCCCCTAGTTTCTCAACAAATTTCTATCCAGTGAAATGTTTCCCGTTACTTGTTATCCAACAAGAGAACAAAAGGCTGAGTAAAGTTAAAAACCCATGAAAGGGTTTGTGAGGGTCAGGGCCAGGCTACCAAGTTACATAAAAGGGACGTTTTCTTACTGTAAGTCTGCCTGGCAACAGGGGAAGCGGGGTGAGTGGTACCCTGTGATTGGTCTGGCTGGTTCTCGCTGCTTCCTTCTCATTGGTTCAAAATCCACTTCTGCTGCCAACGGCAATTCAAAGCATCCAATCACTCCCGGTCCTTTTTCCCGCTCTCTGAGAAAGCTAGCACCTTCAGCATCACATCCCCAACGGTCATCAACAGCCCCGCTTCAATATGATTTAGGTCCTTCAGCATCTAAACTACAATGACTACCATCTCCGGTTTTCAGTGGCCCACCACCGCTCCCCATACGCTTCCATTCTCGTCAAAAAACATTACGTTGCCCCCAATGGCCAACAGTCCCGCTTCAACATAATTTAGGTCCTTCAGCATCTAAAGCACAATCACTGCTATCTCCGGTTTTCAGTGGCCCACCACCGCTCCCCATACACCTCTAATCCTCGTCCAAAAAACGTTACGTTCGTTGCCCCCAACGGTCATCAACAGTCCCGCTTCGACGTGATTTAGGTCTTTCAGCATCTAAACAACAGACTCCTCTTTCCCGTTTTCAGTGGCCCACCACTGCTCCCCATACGCCTCCATCCTCGTCAAAAAACATTACTTTTGTCCCTCTTTCGTTCACCTTGAGAGCCACCAGCAGTTCGGTAGTACAAAGTCACTGCCTCAGGGCCACTCTAAAAAGTGTTGGTCTGATGGCTGTAATATATTCTTGCTAGTTATAAACGACCCAACTAACCTCCGTTTGAAGCCTAATCTAGCCCTTCCTGCCCACAAAATCACTCACCTCAGCTGCAGCCACCAACGCCGCGGCTGTGCTCTCCACAGCCTCCTTCCACAGCGCACGAGGACGAGGACGCTCGGAAAGCGCCGCCCTCTAGCGACGTTAGCGACGTCACGCTAGGCCACTAAAGCCACTCCCACTTGGCCTTTACCCTGTGTCACGGCGCCTAAGCTTTGGGACCCAGTCTAAACCTCACATTCTGGGGATGCAGTTCAGAGAGTCAGTTACTGGGTGAGTTCAGGGTGACAATCGCCGAGATTAAGCAAGTGTGATGTAATACTGAAAGCATACTACAATGAATTGAGGAAAAGTGCAAATGGCCAGGATTACAGAAAAAAGAGCGGGACTTCACACACACACACACACACACACACAAAAAGAACAGGAAAAGAAATAAAGCAAGTAGACGTTGTTGACCACTGGTTATGAAAGAGTGGCAAAGGCCAGAAATAGCAGAAATATCAGAAGCTGAGGAGACTAGTTGAGGCCAGCCTGAGCCAACAAGCCAGACTGCACCTACACCAAAAGAAAAAAAAAAAGAAAGAAAGAAAAAAAAAAAAAAAAAAAAAAAAAAAAAAAAAAAAAAAAAAAAAAGCCGAGTGTGATGGCATGCGCTTGTAGTCCCAGCTACTTTGGAGGCTGAGGTGGAAAGATCACTTGAGCCTGAGAGTTTAGGTCCAATGAACCACGATCCCACCACTGCACTTCAGCCTGGGCGACAGCGAGATCATGTTTCTTAAAAATAAAAAATAAGCCCGGCGCAGTGGCTCACGCCTGTAATCCCAGCACTTTGGGAAACTGAGGTGGGCAGATCAACTGAGGTCGGGAGTTCGAGACCAGCCTGACCAACATGGAGAAACCCCGTCTCTCCTAAAGGTACAGAATTAGCCGGGTGTGGTGGCATATGCCTCTAATCCCAGCTACTCGGGAGGCTGAGGCAGGAGAATCGCTTGAACCGGGGAGGCGGAGGTTGTGGTGAGCCAAGATCACGCCATTACACTCCAGCCTAGACAACAAGAGCAAAACTCCAGCTCAAAAAAAAACAAATAAATAAATAGAAAAATTAAAAATTAAAAAACCTTGTCGTACCAAGACATGTTTCTGCTCCCCTGCCTTTGTCCGAGCTTTAGGAAACTACCTAATAACTCTCCTGCAGGCTCACAGCAAGCTTGCATGTCCCATGCATTTCCAAACCAAATGGCTTGAGGGGTGGAATATGTAAGTAAAAATTTGATTCCAGCTAAATCTAAGCATGATGCTAATCTCCACTCAGAGGCAACAGTGTGAAAACATGATGCCTCCAGATTTGTAGATAACACAAATTAAAAACATTAATAAGCCTCCCACTTCTTCCTGTATACCCCTCTTTTAAGCCTTGTGTATCTCAGGGCAGATGTGGAGCTGGCTAACAGCATGAAGAAAAGAGACTGTGGCTCCAGTTTCTGGGAGCATTAACAGAGTTCCTTCCTGACCCTGAAAGTCTCAGAATCAGTCATTAGATCTCATGGAAAAGATGAGGTTTCTAAAAGTAATTTATTTTCTGTCTTCAAAATTGTATCTAGATTACACATTACAATGAAGAAAAATGGGAAAACAGAAAGTACTGCTATTAATTCCTCTTCTTTTGCATCCTGCAATTTGGTATGTCTTTATTTCATAACCCTCGATTGCCGTATTAGGGAAAGAATTCTGGTGAAAAGGAGCAGTAGAGTATGCCACAGTTGACTGACTCTCCATGCACCACACACTGTGTGGCCTTGAGCCAGCTTTAAGCATCTTATCATCTCAACTGGGCACGGTGATTCACGTCTGTAATCCCAACACTTTGGGAAGCTGAGGCAGAAGGACTCCTTGAGCCCAGAAGTTTAAGACCAGCCTGGGCAACATAATAAGACTTTGTCTCTATACAAAAATATATATATATATATATATTAAAATTAAAATTAAAAAAGAGGCTGGGTGCAATGGCTCATGCCTGTAATCCCAGCACTTTGGGAGGCCAAGGTGGGAGGATCACTTGAGCCCAGGAGTTCGAGACCAGCCTGGGCAAAATAATGAGACCATGGCTCTATGTTTTTTTGTTTGTTTGTTTGTTTGTTTGTTTGTTTTTGAGATGAAATGGCATCTTGGTTCACTGCAACCTCCACCTCCCTGGTTCAAGTGATTCTCCTGCCTCAGCCTCCTAAGTAGCTGGAATTACAGGCACTGGCCACTACGTCCAGCTAATTTTTGTAGTTTTAGTAGAGACGGGTCTGGTCTTTCCTGACCTCAGGTGATTGGCCCGCCTCTGCCTCTCAAAGTGCTGGGATTACAGACGTGAGCCACTGTGCCCTGCCTCTATTTAAAGAAAAAATTTTTTAAGAATTTTAGCACCTCAATTTCCTCATCTGTACAATGGGAATAAAAGTAATTCTAGGCTTCTGGTTCAATGGAATAATGCACATAAAGCATCTAGAACAATGGGTGGCTGGCATATAGTAGTAGTCACTTAACAAATGTTAGTTCCCGTCATCATTTCCCATTTCCTGGTTGACAAAGTCCCTACTTCCATTATCCCACCTAAGCCCCTGGTTCCCCCATAGCTTCTTTGTTCATGGATGAACAGATGAACAAACAAGGTGATAATTAGACTTCAGCTCTCAAGACTACAAGCAGCCCTTTCACATGCATCTTAGAGTTCTTAATGATTAATAATGTCTGTAGTAGAATGGATATTATATTATTCAGGATTATATATGGCATATAGGAATCACATGACTCTATTAATGAATACCGGTTGTAAATATGACCCCAAAGTTAAGGCTACTGAGCTGACACTAGTGCACTGAAAGGGCCAATGAATAAAGGAAAATGCACATAAAGGGTGAAAACCCTGATGATGCATGGATATCTTCAATTGTTTTTTTATCCAGATGGCCTTCCTAGATGTTACAAGTAAATGAAAATTAAAAGAAACAGAAGAAAAAAGTAAAAGAGAAAGAGAGAAAATGAGAGGAGATAAAAGAAGCAGGTGCGTATTGAGGTGGATATGCAAGAGTGAGCAGTAAAATGCCATTAAGTGGCACTCAGCATGCTGTGAATTATCTTCCTTTACCCTAATATAAGCTGTAAGTTTTCAGTCCTACCCTTTAACAAAATATTACAAAAATGGTGAAATACATAGTATATAAGATGGGTGAACAGCTTGGACTCTAATGAGAGTCTATTAAGACTCGCATTAATAGAGTGGATTAAAAGACAGTAAGCAACTAAGGATGCAAATTAGTTAATAAAGTAGTATTAGGTTCTGTTAAAAGAAGAAAAAGACTTCCAGAATAAACATGCAATTATAGTCAGGAAAATTCTAAAAACAAAATTATTAATGGAGTGAGGAAGAGGAGCTTCTTCCAGATACCAAAATGATTACAAATAAAATTGTGTGGTGATAGTGCAGACAGATAAATGAACAGAATAGAGTTCAGAAACAGATCCAAATATATATAGAAATTATTTAAATCAGTGAGGCAAAGAATTATTCACGAAAAAGTACTGAAATGACTGGATAGCCATTTGTTAAAAAAAAAAAAAAAAAAACTAGATCCTTACCTCTCATTTCATATACCAAAATAAATTCTACATTAATCAAAAATTAAATTCAATCATAATATTTGTTTTAAAAAGTAGGTGTGAATATCATATAGTTTTATTAATGTACTAAGATGCAGTCATTTATTTATTTATTTTTTATTTTACCTAGTTGAGAAGATCTAAATATGATCTGGAAACCCAAATCAAAAAGGAAAAGCAATAAGTTTTACTACATAAAAAATAACTCTTTTGAGTGGCACTATAAGCAAGGTTGAAAGACAAACCACAGATTAAAAAAAGATTTTTTCAACATATGTAACAGATAATGACTTAACATCTCTAACATAAAAAGAGCTCTTCAAATTAAAAAGAAAAAGACAAATACTCTAGTAAATAAAAGCTCAAAGGTCATGATCAGACAAATTATGCAGGTAGAAATACAACCAATGAACACATAAAAAGATACTCGATTGAGTGAGATGGCGCATGCCTGTAATCCCAGCACTTTGGCAGGCCGAGGCGGGAGGATTGCTTGAGTCCAGGAGCTAGAGACCAGTCTGGAGAATGTTGTGAGACTTTGTCTCTACACAAAATTAGCCAGGCGTGGTGACACACGCTTGTAGTCCCAGCTACTCGGGAGTTTGAGGTGAGAGGATCGCTTGAGCTCAGGAGGTGGAGACTGCAGTTAGCCAAGATCGCACCACTGCACTCCAGCCTGGGCAACAGAGTGACCCTTGGCTCAAATATTAATTAATTAATTAAGACTTTTTTAATAAAATAAAAAAGATACTCAACCTCACTAGTAATCGTAGAAATTCAAATTAAAGCAAGGTAAATTTTTCATCTATCAGATTGGCAAAGGTTAAAAAGATTAAGAACACCTTAAATTTGGCAAAATACACAAAACAGGCATTCTTGGGCACTGTTGGTAAGAGTACAAATTAAATTAATGCAACTTTATAGAAGAAAGGCAGCTTGGCAATATGTATCAAAATCTTAAATGTGTCTACCCTGTCACCCAACAATTACCTGAAGCAGGAGAATCACTTGAACCCAGGAGGCGGAGGTTGCAATAAGCCTAGGTGGTGACAAGGAACTCCAGCCTGGGCGACAAAGGAAGATTGCATC